ATTCTTTCCCAGTCCTCACAGACTATGCAGACTCATCAGAATAAAGTCTGGTATTAAGCCAGAGAGATACCTTAAATCATGAGAACAAAAAAAGGCAGAGGAGGGAACAAGGAGGAGGAGGACAGAGAGGAGAGTAGTCTACAATACAAAAGAAGGCGGCAGAAATCAAGTTTTACCTCTGGAATCCAGAGAGCACAGCTCACATGTGCCCACTTGGTCCCTGTCCTGGTAGCTTTCATGGCACCTCCTCTTTTGGGACACAGGAGGCACTGAGGATGTATTCCAAGGACACAGGTGCGACACAGCCAGCTCCCTTCGGGTACTTTTAAGATTCCATAGCATGCCTTGGAGAAAAACAGGTACTGAGATCATTGCGCTGATATGATTTCACACACAAGTATTAATATTTATATGGACCAAAGCTTTCAAATACTAAAGGCACACCCTGGCCTTTACTTAATCCTTCTCTAGTCTCTTTACCTTAAAACAAGTCAAATGATCAAAGAGATAAACAGCCTCTAAAGTCTTTTTATCCTGGCTTCTTTTTAAAACATGTGCTGGTATTACTTGTTTATAATGTAAAACATATCCATTGTGATTGCACACCACCACTGGTGTTAAGAACCTTCATCTTTCCTTTTAGTGACTTTTAAATTTCTGAAGCAAAACCCAGACATTTCTTTAAATTAGCTTCTGCATCTAATCCTTTTTAAAATCACAATTTCCTACCACTAACAACTTTACACTCTAATGTAATTCTGTTTAGATGTGAAAGGATATGAGCTGTTTGACTGAAGACCATTTCCTGCAACATTAAATTACCTTTGTGGTTACAGTTCTGTGAATTATTTGTTACTTTAAATATTTGTATGATATTGCAACAAAAATCACAGCATATACTTAAATTATGAGGTGCTGGGTTTTATGCTTATTTCCTGAGTATTGCACTTAACCCCTCAGAAAATGAGAAATTTCTTAAGTTTTGCTAGGTTTGAGAATTAAAAACAAAAAGGAAAAAAGAAAAAAAATTAGTCTGCTTTCTGATTCAAAAAACACAGCACATTTATGTCAGGCCTGTAGAGCCAGAGACTTTCCTAAATTAAATCTTGCATTATGGAAACACCAAGATTGACTAACCCAAACGCTATTTTGATGTGACGACTGTTGTAAAAACCCAACAGGGGGAGCTGTAATCTAAATTTTACAAGAGATTTTTTTTTTTTCCCCTCTTATGTGGCACATTCCCACCAGCATTCTTTCTATTACTAGTGCAGAAGAGGCATTATATCTAAGGTCACATTTAGGTGAAATTTTAGGAAACTATTTTCTAATTTAATCCAATCAATGAGCAGAGGTGGCCTAGACTACTAAACCAGGAACTTCACGATGTTTTTGAGCTGGCATGATTAGGGCACCTGAAGGAAATCTCTCGCATCTTCCTCCCCATCACCTCCAAACTGCAACTGCAAACAGACCTGAGGCTATGTGGTGAACCAGGGCCAATTCGGATTAGAAACAGAATGACTTTTCGTCGTCGTTGTTAGGATTAGCTCCAGCTCAGGCAGGTCTGGCATGGGGAAGGGAGAGGAGCAAAGAGGCAGCAGGCCATCAGCTCAAGCTCAGCTGTCAGCAGGCAACCACGAGCCTCTGACTGCAAATTCATCATTACTTTTGAAAAGGCACAAGCAGGGGCCGAAGCAGGCGGCCCAGCTGCTGGCCATATTCCTGTCACTGGCTGCGTTACTGGCACTGAGGCTCACGTGGCTGCTTCACGCGGTGAATCAGATCAGGAAAGCAGCCGGGCTGGAAGCCAGCCCACTGCAAGCAGGGAGATGACAGGTCCTTTTTCAGCCAGATACGTTTTTTTGAGTATTACTTGCAGTTGGTACAAAAATACATTTTTAAAAAAACCTTCTCAGTCTCTTTTTAATTTATAGCAAAAACTCCTTCCAGAACAGGACACACAGAAACAAAAGGATTCATATTGCGTTTTTGATTATAAGGATACCTCTGCCTGACTATGCTGAGCTTAGTCAGAATAAAGTCTTGGCTACATCTGAAACACTATAAACGTGAACAACATTCAGACCGAAAGCACGTTATTGCAGGTGCTTATGCCTTCTAAAAAAGATCAGTCTGTTCAAGTGCCTACATGTGGTTTCAGATGTCTAAATTTGGGCAGCCCATGTCTGGTCAATTGACTAATTGGTCAAGGAGGAAAAACCCCAGCTCTAAAACAAAAGACCCTTAGATTCTTCACGTATAGGGTAAGCCAGCATTTCCTGCCCTGTTTATCTTCAAAATCGGGTTTAATAATAGGGGAAAAATTGTTTATGGTCACAGAGGAAGTACTTGGAAGTCCCAAGAACACGCTTTGTGTTTCTATTAGACTGTAGATGTCCACATATTTACCATGCTAGGCCACTTAATCTACTGTAACTGTCAGGGTACAAAACTTCAACTTAGTATTTGTTCTGGTTTCAGCTTGGATAGAGTTAATTTTCTTCCTAGCAGCTGGTATAGTGCTGTGGTTTGGATTTAGGATGAGAGTAAAGCTGATAACACACTGATGTTTTAGTTGTTGCCAAGCAGTTGTTGCACAAGGACTTTTCCAGCTGCCAAGGAGAAGGCTTAAGCTGCCCTGCCAAGGAGAAGGTGTGGGGCGCCCAAGAAGCTGGGAGGGGACACAGCCGGGACAGCTGACCCAAACTGACCAAAGGGATATTCCATACCATGCAATGTCATGCTCCATATATAACAGGAGGAGTTGGCCAGGAGGCGGCGCAGCTCAGGAACTAGCTGAGCCTCAGTTCCAGGCAGTGAGCAATTGTGCTGTGCATCACTTGTTTTGTATATTCTTTTATCATTATTATCCTCTTCCTTTTCTGTCCTAATAAATTGTTTTTATCTCAATCCACAAGTTCTCCATTTTTCCTCTCAATTGTCTCCCCCATCCCACTGGGGGCAAGGGGAAGGCATGGCTGTATGGTTGTTTTATCTGCCTGCCAGGTTAAACCATGACAGTATTGCACCACCCTTCATACATAGAAAATCACAAAGCTCTCCAATTAACATTTAATATTAGTTCAAATTCCACACTTGCCAAGGTAAACTAAGGCCACAGGACAGCGTCAACATTTCTGCAGGCACTAACCTGATGGACACAGATATTACACTTGTCACAAAACACCATGTCATTCCCATCTTCACTGTCAGGGGACCGGCACACATCACAGATGACATCTTCATCGTATTCAATACCCAATCCTTCTTCAGTCTCAATAGCGTGATTCATGTTCTCATGACAGTGCCGCTCCAGCACTTCAATTGTCTTTTCCATTGTGTTTTCATCCAGGGGCCCGCATCCTGCAACCAAGAACAGGGAAAGGGAATTAGAGGGCAGTCAGTGCCTCAGATCGAGTCCGAGATGCAGGAAGAGAGAAAGACAACTTCTAGCAGCTAAAACAGTAGACACAGTGTCTTCTCTCTCATCACACATATTAAAAATAAAAAAATAAAAATAGAAAACCTTTTTCACTCACTGGCTAATTGTAGCATTATCTTATAAATACAAGTAAAACTTCTACTCCACTAGTAGTTCAAGTTGTACATAAAATGCAAGACTGCACCTTGAAGAAGACACTACAGCATAAAAGACAGACAGCAGTTTGTGTAATTGCTAGCTGCTCCCATATGACCCTCCCTCCACCTCCATCACTTTAAGAAACACTAATGACATCCAAAAACACACACAATGTTCTTCTGAAGACTAACTCCCTAGGAAATAAGACTTATCAAGAACACTTTACATCCTATGAGAATAAAGAAGTTGCCACCACCCAGTACCATCCAGTACACTACTTGAGTGATCGGCACAATGGATATGAAAAGTGGTTTTATTGTTTTCTTGGATTTTTTAAAATAAAATAATAATAAAATATAGTGCTGGCAATCCATGCTGTGTGTTCACTTGAACTCTGCACATGCTATATACACGTACCACTAATCAGACTTACTGTAAGCAGAACCATCTAAAAAGGATTTGCTACGAGACTGGTCCTCAGCTTACAGCTGCAGGACATACACTGCATAAGAAACCCTATGATGTTCACAGCTGCAAGAAATCTCCAAACTAACTCTTCTCAAAATCCTTAGTCAAAAATGCTGCTGCCCATAGTTCACTATTTACTCAGACCTTCAAAGGTTGGGATATTCTTGTAACATTAATAGCAGAGGATAACATTTTAACTGCTGGACTATGCACAAAAATATGGCTACTAATTTGGATCCCTTGTTACAACTGATAAACAGGGAGATGGAAAAGATAAATGACTGCTGATACAAAGTGTCTTCTACTAATTAAACTGTTCTCTCCCATGCCTGCATATTTTCTCACTTCCTGAATGAAAAGCATTACAGGATCACTCCAGTGGGAAGCGACCTTCAGAGGGCTCCAGCCTAATCCCTGGCTCCAAGCAGAGTCAACAGTGAATCCAGACAAGGTTGTTGCTGAAGAGATATGTCTAGTCAGATCTTGAAAATGTCCATGGATGGAGATGTGTCCCCCAGAAAAGCTTTGGTTTTGCTAACAGTATCCCTGTATGCCTGGGAAAGCTTGTCCTTATTTCTACCTCTTACATACATCCTTTGGCACTGGAGCTCAGTCATGAGTTCCCTCCTTCAGCAAGCTGGTGTCTTGACACATCTACTTGTTTTCCTGAATGTCTGCATGGTTCGTTCTTGTGCTTGGAGGAGACTGTCCTCACAGTCCTGCTAGCTCTCTTCAGCAGTTCCACTCTTCAGAGCTGCCTCCCAAATATCACCTCCCATTTAACCAAATAAGTAGAAACCTGCTCTCCGGAAGCCCGGGACCAGAAGGCTACTTCCTTTCCTCAGTCTCCTCAGGATCTCAGTCATGACTACTTCATGGCTACTACAGCCAATGCCATCATTGATTATCACATCCCTACAGGTTCTTCCTTGTTTGTAAACAGCAAATCCAGGAGATGTCAAGTATCTCCCTCTTTTGCCCACCTGTCCTTCCTAAAGGACCTGCAATCATCCATGGAAGAAGGCCAGCCACATAGGCTATTCCACCACAACTCAGTTACTCCAGTGATAATTCCAAGATTATTTTCCGCAGCTCACTGCCCCCTCAACAGCCTGCTATACCCACAATTTGCATGGGAAAAAAGTTTACTCAGCTAGTTTTAAATGGGCTAACATGTGTGAAACTTAATTACTCTGTTAAGAACCCAGCATGCAAGCTCCTCAGAACTCTGAATTTGTAGCAATAATATGTTCAAGTTTAAGAAATGGAAACATCTGCTTTTTCTACACAAAATTTTTAACTTTTGAAGTCCTAAAATTAATTCCACCTGGTGTGGGCTTTTTCTCTCCTGCCTCAGTCTGCAGAAGTCACACATGATTTTGGAAGAAGTTTTTAGGCACAACAGGTAAAACACAAAACATTAACAGATTGAGCAAGTCATTATTTTAAGCATATTTACCTCCCATTTTTCTTAGCATTTCCATTTGGTTTTTATTCAGCAATCTTTAAGAGATCTCACACAGTAGACTACAACTCAAACAGCAGAAATTAACTGCTGCTTTTAACATTAGAACATGTTGTGAAATTACCCATTTCTGTAAGCTCTTCATTTAGCTCCTGAAGCCAAAAGATGTCCATGTCATCCAAGTCATAGCGACACATAGATTCTGCCAGTTCCAAAATGTTGATGTAACCTGGTTCTGTGGGCTCTTGGCTGGAACAGTGGATGTATTTTCTGGGTCGTGTATACAGTACTTCTTTTACCTTTTCTGCTACAACCCTAGAGTGGGGAAAAAAAAAAAAAAAAAAAAAAAAGAGTTGCAGCTTTTTAAGACCCATCTTTGAAAGACATGAAACATTTGCTACAAGTGCAAAGAAACCTAGTGTTTCACAGATTTTAAACTAGCCGGTACATGTAGCCAGGCTAGGGAAACAGGATTTTGTAAATGTCATTTCTTCACACAAAATGTGCTATGGTTTGCTACATATACAAAATCCTTTTTAAAATGTAAGCCTGTGCATATCATTTTCAATTTAACAAATGCTACTAGTGTGATGATGCAAGTGTTTTTGAAACCCACAGAAAGTATTATGCACAAAACCCCTTACAATCTTTGTTCTATATTCTTCTTAAATGATAGAAGGAAACCTTGCCAACTGATTTCTTGAAAATACCAGCTTTTTCACAAAAGCTTAATTTATTCTACTGCAGTGTGTGTGTGGGAGAAATGCTTGCTCTTCATTTGGGATAAACAGTCTACCTTTATTTTGTAAGGGACACTTTAGCCACGTTACATAACAAAAGTAATAATTTGTAAGAACCATTCTGATGCCAAGCAAAAAATGTAAAGGGAAAAAAAAAAACCAGCTAAAAATCATCCAGGAAGCAAAGGAGAAAAATATTGGTGTTTTCAATCTTTCAATTATTTTAAGAGATAAAACTCAGCGTTTGATTAGTACACTAGCCTATGAAAATGGAAAGACTGACCTTAGCTAGATAAAGTAAATCTTTCTCTGAATTCAATGAAAGAGGCCCTGCACGTGAAAGGAAGCCAGGGAGATACTGAGTGGAACAGTGCCATGTGTGAGCAGCTCTGCATGCTTTCTGGAGCGAACCCTCCACAGGACAAGGAGAAAAGAAAAGCTGTGGGAAATAAGGCAAGAGGAGTAAAGAAGGAGCAGGCAGCAGTCAAGCAGTATCCCACATAGTTTTTACTGGACAATGTGGGTCGTTAATGTTAGCACAAACAATGTTGTTCAGCCGTTCTTCCTCCCCCTTCACCTTGCTCATTTTTAACTCTAGTTCCCTTGTGAGCTTTTCTTTTCTCTGGTCCAGCCAAATCTATAGCAATTTTTCCCTCTAATGTAATACTGCTGGTATGAGATGCAATATATTTATTTTTAATAACTTGGTACTGACAAAAGCCCCAGTGGAAATTAAATTATGCTGGTATCAGCGCTTTCACTGGACAATTCATTTATCTTCGTCTTGAAGACCACGCTGGCAATAACATTTCTATGTTGAAACACGCTCTGTTTTCACCAGGAATGGCTGCAGGACTACAGTGTTATGTTTTCCTAGTCTAAGCACAGCATAAGAGAACAAAATGTTATTTATTTATCTCCTGAAACTGAGATCACTGAACTTCTATAATGTTAAGCACCTATTTGTGGCAAGAGAAGGCAGAAAGGGTTAAAGCTCTGGCAACAAAAATTAAATTATATGAACAAGTGAGCAACTTTATCAGGTGTCAGTAACTACCCTGTGCCTATTGCTCTATATCATCATGCTTTATAGGGAAGCCTTTCAAGTAACATGTACAAGATTTGGGTTTATTTTTAATTTATTAAACTCACCATACTCAAACGAGAAAAGAGTTTTTCATTTATAGCAAAGCGTGACTCAGGAAGAGAGATCCCCTTTTTAAACTCACAATATAGATACTATAACAGTATACAGACAGAAACAGTTCTGGACTGAAGTGCCACAGAAATGTTTTCCAAATTGGTACTTGTTCGGTTTAAGAACACGCCTGAAGGCTGCTGCATTGGAGATTTAAATATAATAACAGAGAAAAGCTGACTGCATTTAGACAACCTATTTTTGAGAGACTATCTTCTCTAAGTTGACATTTTGTGCAGGTGATCTGCTTCCGATTACCATTACCTGAGAGAAGGCTGTGGAATAGTTTCTGGGCTGGCTGGAACTTGAACCCCTTTCTCCCATTCTTGTTTCCACGTGTCCGCAAAGATATAATATTCATCAGGGTTGACATGGTGAGAATCTGGTAGTTTCATGGCACTAATGAGATCCTTGCGGAACACCTGCAAGAAACACCAGGGAAAAAAGTGGCTTGAGAGAGTGTTGCATTAAAGGAAGCAGTAGGTATTTTTCTTAATCTACACTGAAACAATGTATATACCTTAATAATTTTTATGAATACCAACACACAAACAAATCAGTTTGAAATTACCTAGATTATTAACTCTCAGTGTATCAGATGCAGTATGACAAGAAGTTTATGCCAACTCAAAACCACGCTCCTACCCAAAGGCTAATCAAAAGGAAGAAGGCTGTTATAGGCGACCAGGGAGAGGGGAAAGGAGACCTGCACCTGATTTAAGACTCCTCACAATATCACTTTCAAACAGCTTATTTTACTTGCCAGGCCGCAGGCTTTATCCCAACTAAGATACAAGGTAGCATATCCTTTTTCCTTCGCTCCGTTTAGCTACTTTGAACTGTCATATTCATCATGGGCTACGAACAGTTACCATGGCAAAATTGATGTATAGGCACTTGTTCATTTATTAAAGCCACTTGAAGTTTTACTGGTTGGGATCTCAGGGATCAAAGATGAACAGCTGCCTTTGCTGAAACATGAGACCCATGTTGCTCTGTGCCTGAATCCCAGCGATGCAGGCAGAGTGATGCAATCAACCCAGCCTCAGCATCCTTTAGCAAACCTATACGATGAAACATGCCATCATGAAACAAAGCAAACCCATCAGTGACAAACCAGCCAGCGATAACATTCAACTCTTGGCTCAAGACAATTCAGTTTTTAGGAGCATACAGCCACGACCATCAGTCATGTCAAAACTTACTTAATGTCACAGTGCCTGTCAAATACAGGTGCATACAATTTAAATAAAAGGCATACGTGTGGGGTTTTTTCTCCACTGCTACAGTGCACCAGTTTAACATTCACAGAAGCAAAACAGTGACTGTGGCTTGGTGTTAGGGAGACATCACAACTAATTAGCTGTATTAACATAACGAGAAATCAAATCCTCAAAGGGCAATAAAATGAAACAGAAAATATCCCTGCAATAAGCTGTGGCAGGTTGAACTCTCTTCTTACTAATTCAGTTTTATAGCCAGAAGAGTAATAAAATATCTCCAAGCCAAATATCTTTGTGTACCCTTTTCAATTTGACAGCACCAGACTGGTTATGCCTACTACAAAAATTCTCAGCTGTTCTTGGAAATCAAGTACACATTATTAAAAAAGGCTCTATGCTAAAAACAGGTATTGAAATAGGCTGCCGGTGACCTGGAACATCAGTGGTACTTCATTATGTCCTATAACTGCATCTCACGTGGGCTGCCAGCAGAGCAAGCTGACCAAGGGGAACTCAAACCCACAGACTCAAGGCTCTCTTATTTCCTACTGATGTGTTACCTGTTTTGGTTCAGACCAGACTGTTCACTCCTGTCCTCTGTGTAAAATTCCTCAGGTACCTAACAGGTCTGTATTCAAATCTGAATGACGAGTGAAAGCATTAAGACTGCAAGCATCCATTTTTTTCCAAGCAGTACATGTACACACCAAAAAATAAAATGCAAAATGATTTATGCTGCTTAAAAGGCATTTTCATTTTCTGTGTTACAGGTACAGAACCAGGATTATGAGAAACGCTAACATGGCACAATTCCAACAAACTCTACAAGGAAAAAATAATCCAATAAATGAGAAGTGCAATGACTGGTTTAATTATCAGAGAAGATATTCCTCAAAACTTATCTGAGATAAGTGCTTTGCAAACTACCTTTTAAGCCACTGACAGAATATAGAAGTAGAGTGCTTCATACCAAGCCCACTATTTTTTAAACATTAGATGAAAAATGCTATTAAAGGCATCAGTATCCTAACTACATTGCTTAGCAGCAAATTCATCTTCTGATCATCCATTATGTATGTGAACTATATCATCTCTATTTTTAGAGCACCAATACCCTGGAGCATCAACTTTTTTGTTGGTTTTTTGACTGCCGTACAGTACTGACCACAGCATCATCTCGCTGCAATATTAAGTTGTCTGCTTCAGATTTCTAAAATTTACAATAGAGGTACCACTGAAGGTCAAAGATTTAACCAATACAAACATAACTGTTGAAACCTTAAGGAACCCCAAAACTTGACCAAGACTTCCTAAGAATTGTCTATTCATACTTGTGATAACGGTGCAATTGAGTGTTTCCTGCAGACACTTGGAATCATTACAATCTCCAGCTCTCATCATTCTTCATTTCTTCATATGTGGCCAAGCAAGGTCTTCCAACAGTAAAATTGTCTCAGAGGACAAGGTATGAGAACACATGCCTTGATCACTCCCTCTGTATTTCCTTTTGTTGTGGAAATAAACCAGAACACCCAGGGGACCCAAAGAGAGTTTTCCAACAAATGAAGTAAATTTTGCTTCAGTAGTCAGCCTCAAGGCTATGAACTAAGCCAACTCAACAAAGAGCAGACACATGCCTTCAGGATTTAGATAGCTAGCTTTTCCTTGTGGTTGTTTCTTTTTGGACACTTACTCAAAAAACAATGCAGTTGCTTTACTAACTGCATCCATAAAGCTAGTATCCCTATGCATCCATAAATGTATCCATAAAGCTAAGTCCACTCCACAGCACATACTCTCCTCTGGGCAAGGACCACCTTCACTTCCACAGTTAGCCTATGAAGTGCAATAGTCATCTTTCAGTCACCCAAAAGCAGTTCTATTTCTTGCCACACATAAAACACAACCCTTCAACTTTATTTTAATATCATTGCTAATACCATACATATTAAGGAGACCTGAAAAATGAGCATGCTAGGTCTAGGCTAACAAGGTATTCCCATCTGGACACACGACTCCTCAAGAGCAGAGTTAGCCTAGTGCTGCGTGCTTTTACCATGATAGAGAACGGCCTCACAGAGCTGAATGACAACTAACGGCAGCTAGCAGAGCCAGGTCCATACACACAGAAATGGGAAACTCCCCACCACTGTAAGCATTCACAGTAGTTACTGTGTGACAGTGGGATTTAAAATAAAATAAAAAAAAAAAACAAACAGAGAAAAAAGAAAAAAAGTAGGTTTAGCAATTGAAAACATGACAGAAGAGATCAGTTTTAGCCCTGTTTACCATATAACACTGCTTGGTCTGAACTTGCCATTTCATTTTGCTACCAGGAATTTTTAGTTTCAGCTGAAAACAGTGCAGCATTTTGAAAAATGCTTATGTCATCATCATCATCTTAAGCGTTTTGTCGAGAAACTACTAATTATTTCACACTTTAGAGCTGGGGCTTAAATGTAGAAGAGGAGACCTTGTTCTTTGGTCAAGATTAGCTTTTTGCTCTACAGTAAAAGTCTGCCTGGATTTGCTGAGGCAATGAGAACTTCCTCGTCGCCTCTGCAGAGATGCACTGCTGTCTCTAAAGGCTTTAAAAGCTGAATTCTACAAAAGATTTCCAGAAATAATGATGCTCTGCTCCCCCACAGCACTAACACACCAAGCAATAAAGATATCACAGAGCTGTGGAAGGAAATATATGGTTCATATGTTTTATTTGTTTTTCAGACTTCTGAGTCCTATTTGGAAATGATGTTAGACGAGTATGTCCAAGGAAAATTAACTTCTTGGAATCCGTTTATAAATGCTTCACCAAAAGCTGTCTATGACTTTAACCCAAACTCCCCTGGAAGTGCTCTATGAAAAGTCAATATATAATTTTCCTCACAGGACCCTCCTGTGCTTGCTCTGTGAATAAATCAAGCCTGTGAAACAAAGAACACTATTTTGTGTGAAGTATCCTCATGCACTAAAGGTATCAGGGAGGATACAAGTAACGCTATAGAGAAATACAGTAAGCTATTAGCATCAAACACAAAGAGCAGGTCTTGACAATACAACAGCCTTCTACAAACCCCATCTTCACTGAACAATTCAAACATCAGATATGCACAGACTGTCAGGCACCTTTTGTTCATGACCACTGCAAACCTAAAACCACATTAAAAAAAAAGTCGAGGGGGGAAAAAAAAAAGTCAGATATCTTTTCCAATACCTCTCTGCAAGGTACTAAAGTTGACTGATGCCATTGCTCATTCACCTTGTCTTTCCCAAATGCATGCGTGAAGGAAAACAAATGGATTGTGTCATCTCTTAAAAATGGAAAGAAACCCTATTTCTTCTTGTTACACTCTCTGAGCTTTCAGTTACTTTGTCCACTAGCTTACAAACCCCCAACAAGGGTAAGCCGCTTGTCACAGGCGCCTAGGTCACAACTGGGAACCACACCTTTAAGATTTAAGTAAATTATGGGTTCACTGCTCTGTTGTTACAATCAAAGCAATATTTCTGCTGGATCGTATCTAATTGCTTCAGTCCTAAGGCTTTCCCCCGTGCCCAGCAGAGCCTGGAGCGAGTCAACAACACGTGTTTCTGTTCCTCACGCCCACCACTTAGGGAGTCAGAAGACCCACTGCCCTAGAAACACAGAGCGGCCACTTTTAAAAGGCAGGAGGGAACTACTACGTCCCATCCCGTCCCCTCCAAGAGTATACTGCCAGAAATCTTTCACAAAAAAGAGTGTGGAATGAGGGCCAGTATCTTCTCGAACCAGACAGAACTGAAACAGCTAGCATTTTCCTGGATTTTTGCTCTCCTTCACAACCCGTCTCAAAGGCCAACTTTGAAATTCCAGATGCCAAACACTCAAACTCAGCGGGCACTTTCTGTAAAGTGTAAAGTAAATTACACAAGAGTTTTTCATCATATTTGGGGTCAAATAATGGTTTTTTTATTCACCTTTGAAAGGGTCTAGTAACTTTTTATTCTCATAAGCACCCATAAGCATTAAAGCTTACTCTACTATTGCAGTTCTCAAGTACAACACTCTCAGCAAAATTTAAACACATTTATAAAGCAGCATTTTACACCTAAAATCACCTTGTAATTAATAAAAGCCAAATTGTAATATGACCTATTACAAGCGTAATATAGCCACATAGTATCTGAGCATAGATAGTTTAATCTATGTATACATGTTT